TTGTGACACGTTGTATTCGGGGGAAGACTGTAGACCTGTCTCTTATACACATCTAGATGTGTATAAGAGACAGGTACTCTGCTGTATACGGCCACAGTGCGGTTCAAATCCAGGCCATACGCAATTACACTGGAAACATGCCCAAATGCAATGTCATCACATGAAACGTGATAAGCAATTTCTCTTATAAGCAATATCCTGAGCATTGGATATATCTATTATACGAGGCTACCAGAGTGGCCCGGGTCCACTTGCCCGGCCGGGCCAAAAAGAAATTAAGAAAATAAAAAAATAAAAATTATTTTTTAAGTCAAATTTTTATTTTAAATTTGGTAAAGCATTTCGATGTGACCGTGAGGCAAAAGTTGTTCAGTTTATTTTTCTCAATAACATAGTTTTTTTTCCGATTTTTTAGATTTTTTTTTTTTTTGTTTTKTTTGGCTGGGACCTTCCCTAGTCCTTGCACGGCTGGTAGCCTAGCTATTATACCTATTAGAAAAGAAAGAAAAATGGACACATATATTCGGAAACAAAAAAAAAAAAGAATATACCTCTTTCTTCGGCATGGCCTTGTGATTGCCCCTAGGAGGGTTGGTGGAATAATGAGGCCCCTTTGAGGCGCCGTCTCGTGAAGAAGAGCAGGAGGGAGATATTCTGATATAGTGATTCTCGACCCCGTTTTCGCGGTTCTCTTGGGTCACGAGTTCCCGATAACTATCATCTCATTCATAAGATGTCTCGTTTTCATTCTTGGACAAGAATCTTGGTCGTATGTTTGATATCGCAACTCTACTTCCAAACCTCTTGTATTCCATGAGGTTTAAAAGTAGAGGACAAAAGAACCAATTGGTCCAATTCCTAATTGCTGCATTTGTGTTATGGCATCTCTACTTTCCATGGCTACCATCCGGACATCCGGACAGGCGTCCAGACGGTGTGCTGTCCGGTGTCTGGACGCCGGACCGTAGGAGGCCCGTCCGGAAGGGGCCAAAACCCTGAAATTCAAGAAAAAAAGGGGGCACCCTAAACCTGTTCCTCAGGTCCAGGGCACCCCCTGAAAAATGTTTCGATGATTTTTGGCGGCGGTATCGGCCGTACAGGGCGGCTGGACCGACCCCTTTTCTATTCGCATCTTGGGCAGACCGTTGGAGGCAGCACACAGTTCCCCAGTGACAAAGGGAAGAAAGCGCCAATCTAGGCATTTCAGAGTGCTTTCCCCCCCACCTGTCGTCACCACACACACGCACACACGCACAGACGGAGAGGGAGAGAGAGCCCTCATTACCGCTGTGGACTGGTGCGCACATGCAACAGAGAGAGAGAGAGAGAGAGAGAGAGAGAGAGAGAGAGAGAGAGAGAGAGAGAGAGAGAGAGAGAGAGAGTTTGAACTCGGACCTCATACTTTGAACTTTAAATTATGAACTGCTGAAGTCTTGAACTTTATTTAATATTTACCGTTATTCAAGTTCGCAGCAGTTTGTGCTTTACAGTAATTGTGCCAGCACAGTGCATATCAAGGAATGATCATAATTTAATCAATTTTAAATTTTAATGTTTGTCATATATGCCAACAGCTATGTCTTCCTGGAACACTTCCCCTTAAGGTCACGGTTATACGATGAAACTGCATTCAACATGGATAAGAGAACTGCAAGTGTTTTTTTTTTTCCCCCTTTCAATCCGGACCGATCCGGACCATGTCCCGACAGTCCGGACTGGTCGGGAAATCCGGATGTCCGGATCATATCCGGACCGACTGGTTGTCTGGGTCCGGATCGGTCCGGTGTCCGGGTCCGCGGTAGCCATGCTACTTTCAAAGCTTGCGGAATTTTCTTTTTTTTGTTCTTTTTTTTCTGACAAAAGATTGGCCCATTTGGTCCATACCTCAATGTGTGTGTGTGTGTGTGTGTGTGTGTGTGTGTGTGTGTGTGTGTGTGTGTGTGTGTGTGTGTGTGTAATCTATCCTTGCACAAGGTCCATGCCAATCATCTATGTATCATTCCAATTTCAAAGGATTTCCCCCCCAAAAATCCCTCGCTATTGCTGTGTGATTTTCTTTTTCTCACTTGGGACTTTTCTTCAATACAATGATGGTACCATGGTGGGCAAAAAAAAAGAAAAGGGGTTGCCGCAAGAGCTGGGGTGGCCCCCTCTTCTCATCTTCTCTCTCCATTACATTGGTGTACAATATGCTTGCCAGTGATAATTAACTGGACTGATGCCCCCCAGAGTAGGAGGGGGCTCAAGGCTTTTGTGTTAAACAAAAGAAGAAGAAGAAGAAGAAGAAGAAGAAGAAGAAGAAGAAGAATTTTTTTTTTTTTTTTTTTGGCCCGAAGAACATTAAATGTCAATAATGCTGGTCCGACCGACCTCAATCTGTCTTCGGGTTTTCACAACATCCAGCGGACAGGTCAGCGCTGCTGCAGTTGCGCCTGCTACCATTCCTGCTAGCATATTCGCCCCGACCACTCCGTGTACTCCAGCGTCAGCGCCAGCCCACTGCAGAATGTGTCTCCTGACCTGTCAGAAAACCACCCACAGAAAAAAAGGAGCGATTATATATAAAAGAACACGTATGCCAGAAAGCCACCGACAAGAAAAGGTGCGATTGGTCACAATTATTTTGTACATGAGACAGTATATATATCGTACAACAGAGATGCCCGGTAAACTATAATGCAGAGAGGGACAAGAGGGAGAAGAGGACAACAAACAAGGGGCTGTGACAGACTGTTTTGTCGAAGTTTCAACAATTTATTAGGAGGCTGAACCCCCAGTATATGACATTATTTTATGTATCATCAAACAGAAGTGCACGGTAACCCGTAATGCAGAGGGGGAGGGAGAAAAGGACAACAAACGAGGGGCTGTGACAAACTGTTTCGTCGGAGTTTCACCGACGCATCAGGAGGCTGAACCCTATTTATATATAGTCAAATTATCTCTCAAATATATATATCGTCATATATATCGTCAAACAGAGCTCACAGACTCATCAAGAGGCTGAACCCTATATATATATATCTATTGTCACATATATATATCACACACTGAATCTCATATATATTGTCACATAACTACAAACTAAAAGAGCGCACTTTCCAAAACAAAAACAAAAAACGGGCACATTGCAAAAATAGAAACAAAAAACAAAAAGAAAAAGCCAGGGCACTGAGGGCAGATTGAAACCATTAAATTTCTCATTCTTCTTTGAACTCCACCTCCACTGTGCCTCTCACGTGCAAGGCTCGCCATCGTCAAACAGAGCTGCCCGGTAAACCATAGGTAAACCGTAACGCACTCTCAATGCCTCTCATAATGAATGCATACAAGCTACATTTCTGGTTCGATACAGACGTGATAAGGGTGCGTTACGTTCAGGGGAAGGCAGAAACATTCCTGGATCCCCCCCCTTGGAAGGCTTCGGTGCGCATGGATGTTTTCAGGGGGCGTGTGAACTTTCCAGGAATACTTCGTGCCGCAGGCTTCATCCACTATCTGGTCAAGCTGCTTAACTTCAGTTTCAGGATCATCATAGCAGTGAAATGAACTGGTTATTAACTCGATTAAACCGGCATGCAGTTCGATGGAAGCGTTCAAGAGTCCCTGGACAGGGCTCCAGAGTGGACGGATATGCAGTGATATCGGAAGGAAAGAAACAATTTTGCTTTTTTTTTCTTTTTTTTACTGTGCAATGTGCCCAGTCGTGATAATCAGTCGTCACTCGGAAAGACAAAGTAGACGAACGCTGCTGATAAATCAAAATAATAATGATCCCCAATGAGAGAGAAGACATACACAGACGAGAGAGGGAGGAGGGAGAATAGACTTTGAGAGGGTGGAAGAGTCTCCTCCCTACAGCCCACTTCCTCCTTCGGTCACTTCCTCCTCCTATCAGCATAATCGTGTCTCAATCAGAGATCCGGATATCCAAGACAATGTAGACCAATAGTGCCACGTGGCACCAGCAGACCAGTCATCAAGCAGCAACGTGACGACGAAGTTGAAGACACCAGGTACGTATCACGACCCAAACCACAGTCCTGAATCCTTCTTTCGAATACTTGTCAAGCAGAACAGCAATACAGGCACCCAGCGCCTTCCACCTCAGCAGCAATACTACGTGGCAGCAGCCACGAAGATGACACGTGGCATCTGCCACGTCGACAACCCCTCAGACAGTAGTGCGCCAGCCAGCATGCTGGTCGCACAGCACGCTCAAACCACGAACCAGCGACGAGCGCCGGTCATCAAGTCCTCCCAGCAGCGTCTCGCCAGCAAGACAGCATAGAGCCGGCGTTGACGTGAGAGCGTCGAGTCAGCATAGACTCCAGACGAGAGTCTAGATATCAAAGCCAGGAAGTCAGCCCAATATGTAGTGTTAACGGCGGGGTCTGGGCCCCAGTCCTCAAGTCAGACACGGCCGAGATCGATTGTCGTCGACGGCCTGGATTGAGTTGAAACTGTATCCTCCTTGGTCCACCGTTCTGACTGGGTACCTGCACTCATACAAGTCAATGCACACGACCAAGGGCCTGGGCGAGGTACCTGGACCTACAGTTGACTTCGACCTTCGAATTTCTTGCTGTGCGTGGTCACACAGCACCCGCAGCGGCCTGAGSCCGAGCAGCGCGTGGTCGCACTGCTCGCTGGGCCTGGGCTTGGGTTACAGCGCCCAGGCCGCTGCTGAACGCGGTTTACTGCATTCATACACATCTAGATGTGTATAAGAGACAGGAGAGAGAGAGAGAGAGAGAGAGAGAGAGAGAGAGAGAGAGAGAGAGAGAGAGAGAGAGAGAAGGCCGTGCATAGTGAGCAAACAGGATGGTACTGTATAGGGGGTCACATAGTTGGAGAACAACTACATTGTTGTTGTTCTATTGATGAGAGGGGGTGAGAAGTCGGGCTTTCTGCAAGTGTGTGATTACTAAGGCAACGTGTGTCTAGGGCATCATGCCCTGCCGTGCACGGACGGCCTCGAACCGGCACCCTCCAGCACAGGAACGAAGTATCGTAACCACTACAACCCTTGGAGGTGTTATAAAAACTGTGTGGTCATTCGGTGCGCTCTTGCCTTTGTAATTCTACTTTCCCCTTTGCTCAGGTCTGCTGGTTCTGCTTCGAGTCCTTTCGCTGCTTCAACGGACATTTCGTGTTCTCATTGATCGTTCCTTGCAGCAACATAATTATGGGTTCTGTCTCGTCTGACTTCTCCTATGCATGAACAATGATTGGGCGAGCGAGTTTCCAAATTCCAATAAAGCAAAGCTGATGTCCAATGAAAGGCGTGATTTTTTTTTGTGTGTATGATTTGTTTTTTTCTTTTTTCCCTCCTTTTGAACAAACATGACCATAACAACAATAAGTGAAACCCCCAACGACCAAGTCTGGGAAGTAACCGTGAATGGCCCCCCATAAAAAAAGAAAAGGAAAAGCAAAAAAGAATCCTCACGGACGATCGTGGGTACCTCTTTGCCAGGTGAATGAATTTGGGAGAGCTGAAACTTCCACAGAGAACGTATACGTTCTCCAGAATACGTATCATCAAAAATCGACGACATGGTTGGAAAGGGAAGGGAGAGGTGATTTTCCGCCTCCCATGGGTCTCTGTCACATGGAGCCCCATAGATAGCGGAAACAGACCATTTCTTTGGTCTAGGGGAGTCTGGGCCTGTACAGTCATCCTGCAGGTTGCGGGTTCGAATCCCTTCTACGGCTCTACCCCCATAGTCAGGGTGAATGTGAAATGTGAATGTGAATCTTCATCGAACCTTCCCATCATCAGTTACATACGCTACGCACTTTCGCACTTTCGCACTCCAAAGATGTTGTTGAAAAAGGGGGGAGGAGGTCTTTTCCTCCTGTAGTTATGTCACCGGGAGCCCAATATAGGAACTAGACTTTTCTTATTCCTTTTTTTGTTTTTTTTTGGGGGGGGGGTTCTTGTTTTGTTTTTTTGGTTAAACAAAATAAGGCCCTTCTATTCTGGGAGACTTTTCATCTTAGTGATTCATGTCATTTTTAATGACCTGTAGACTCATGCAGGTTGAGGGTTCCAATTCCTGTAGTTGAGACAGCGTGTGAGCGTAAGAGTAAAAATGATGAAGTGTGTCTCGCTGTCCATTGTCCATATTGTATGGATGTAATATGTATTCTTGTGACTGTTTAAGTTGATGATAGTATGATACCTATTACGGTATTACCTTTGTCTTGTTTTTTTCTTTTGTCTTTTTTGAAAATTTAAAACCCCTTTTCTTGCATTAACACATCCGGCTTTTCAGGATTATCAAGAATGGGCATTAAAAAAAAAAAAGAAAGAAAGAAAGAAAGAAAGAAAAAAAAGGAGGGTATAAGAGAGAAAACAAACTCCTACTCAGCCCGTGTGGCTGAATGGTACACACATGTAGCTGTTAGTAAACAGATCATGAGTTCGAACTTTGAACCCTGATTGCAATCAGATGAAAAGCACAATAACTTTGAAGGTTACACCTTAAAAAAAAAAAAAAACAATAAGTTCCAAACTGTTAAATAAGGTCATTGAGAGTGTGGGTAATAATGTATTTACCGGCTCCAACGAACTCCAGCAAATTGCCGAAAATGGCACATCCCTTGCCAGCTGGGCCCCTGTCCCCACCCACAGGTGCCTTACATTTGACCCTGCAGAAAAACAGCAAACGGCCGAGAGAAGCCAAGGGCCAAGGAAGGGAAAAAAAAAAAAAAAAAAAAAAAAGACGATGACGAAGACGACGATGAAGAAAAGATGCACACAACGATGAGGAATAATGTTAGCATAAGAGAAGATATTGGGCGTCTCTCCACGGCACAACACTCTACATGTAGCTACTAGCTAGAGCTGGTAATGGTCCAAATACATTTGAATTGTCCGACTAATCCAAATGGATCTGGTCCACAGCGTAGTCCACATACCTGTCGAATACCTGTTGAACACCTGAGGAATACCTGTTGAGCAGTGCAGCAAGGCCTATTGTCGTTCAGTCCGTGATGATGTTTCTCAATTGTCAACAGGGCACCGTACTTAAGTATATTAATAAATTAATAATAAATTATTAAATATCGTTCAGTCCATAGAATTGGGGTTCACAACGTCACATGAAATATCACCAGAGATTAAAAAAAATAAAATTAATAATTTAATATTTGCAAGGACCTGCCCAAACACGGAATGAGAGAACACAGCTGATGTCTGAGTTTGCCGCTTAGGATCAATGCCTTGCTGAGATTCCTGCTATCTGTTGAGTTTTCTAAGTCATTGTCTGTGCGTGCTTGCTGGTCTGCATGCCTGTCTGAGTGCTTGTCGGCTTGAGTGTGTGTTTGACCCGCAAGGGTACTTGCTTGCTTGGGAGGCCCCGTAGGGCCGGTACTTACCATCGCCGTGACATTGAGGGTTGCAGCGGGGAAAACACTCTAGCGGGAGTAGGCCCATGACACAACGGGGAAAAACACTCCAGGAGCAGGTAGGCCGGTACCACTCTCAAGTAGCGGTAGATGTGTCCGAGACTGGAGGCCGAGCAGAAGAAGACAAAAGTTGGCATTTTTAGAGGCCCAGTAGTTGTAGGCTAGGTCTAGGTGGGTACCAGTCCGAGTAGTCTTGAGTCGAGGGCCTGCAGGGGCGATATCAGAGTGTGCACTGATGTTTCCCTCCGGAAGGGAGGAGGTACCGGTTGCTTGGACGCCGCACAGCCTAGGAAGTCACCGGCCAACAGGCAAGTTGAGGCCGCTATATCTCCAGGAGGCAAAGAGTTCCTCATCATTTGCTGCGTGCAAGTTTGGGCGACACGCTGCTGGAGCGCGTGGTGGAACAGCACTGGCGTACTGTGCTGTGGGGAGGAAGACGGGACTAGGAGAGGGGAGCGCCAGGGGTACTTACCTGGCTATGGTGGACCCCATCTCCATTGCCTTGGTGGGCGCGGCATCTGCAAGGCCCCCGTTGAGGTAGGGCTGCATCACGAAGCTTTGAGTCAGACTCAGGCGTGGCGGCCTGAGTGGAAGCGGCCATAGCTGCTTTGCGTTATCTTTTCCACGTAAGTGCAAGGCCCTAGTAGTCCACCATAGCCTCGACCTCATGAAGAGGAAGGAGAAGGGTGGCCATGGATATGGTGGACCTCGAGGCAGTGGAAGAGGGATTCGGACATTGATTCTGGTTCTGCCATTCATCATTATTATTATTATTTATTGTTCGAATAAGAGTGGGGGAGGAAAGGGGGAGAGTTTGGTTGCACACATCTTCTTCTTCTTCTTCTTCTTCTTCTTCTTCGTCTTCTTCTTCTTCTTCTTCTTCTTCTTCTTTCTCTCTCTCTTCTCTCAAGTTCATTCATTTCTTTTTGCAATCGGACGGCATTGTGCTTTCTCTGAGTTTCTGATTTTGCACTTCGAAATTGGCCAGGATCTGAGTAACTGGTTCAACGGAGGGGCTAGAATTAAACGGCCGTTGAAAGCCGTTTAATTCCCCCATACCCTCGTTAAATAAAAAACGGGGGCCCTCCTGCCGTTTTTTTTTCAATGGACAAGGTCCGCAGGAGCTCGGGTGTGTGGCCCAGCACAACCCCGTGCGATTAAGCTAAAAAAAAAGAAAATCACCCCCCCCC